TTTTTTAAATAAAAAAAAAAGAATTTTCCAAATCGGTTTTCAACTGCGAAATTATAAGGAAAACAAACATCAAAAACAAAAACAACCGTATTGAGAACCTCGTTTCCAAGCGATTTCAAAAAGGTTGGTTGTATTTTTTGAAGTTGGTTAATATACCCTAATGGTAGCAACAATTGTATTATCCAAATTAGTTCAGAATTAGCGTATAAATCACGCAACGTTAACTCAAAAGTTACTGGCAATTTTACCATTTTACCAACACCTTTTTAAAGTCCCAATAAAATTAAATATCGAACAATGATATCGAAAGTAGGATTTGGCCATAAAGGTGACATGAGCCACTTTGGCTCCCTGCTACGTAATCCCTTTTGAATGATTGAAGAGAAAACTGGATAGTACCATTTACTGTTGGGCCTGAGCCTTTCAAACATACAACACAAAAGTTCTGGTTTATATGAATAAATGTATGTAGTTTTGTGTTTTTGTATCATTGTTCATTTCTATTGTATAGCATTTTTACGATACTTACAATGGCAAACAAGCTGACGGCCCGGTTGATGAAAAGTAGTAACTTTCGCCTATAGAGATGAACAGCACCATGGCTATCACAGAATATGAGTACACTGTCATGCTCAAAGCATCTCCATACGTTGCCATTCCTGATGACTAAGGTGTTATGCCTCTGTACCCTGTAATTTATTAGTAAAGGCTGGTAAAGGTTTTCATCGCCAAGATAAAATCACTGCGTCAATCGCAAAATAGTCTACTTATTTTGTTTTTTATTAATTTGTTTATTTATTACTTCTCTGCACCTTAACTGTTTAATTAGTAGTTGTGAAATTTATTACACAAGTTATATTGAAATAAGGAAAAGAAAAAAACAAGAAGGATATATGCTACTTTTTATTGATCGATCGACGAAATCACGGGTAAAAATAATAAAGATATATTTTAAGAGTCTCGATTACCTGTGCCTACCCTGTAAAGAACTAGGCGCGAAGACAGAATGAAGATTCACAAGCTGTTCTGTCCCATTAATAATACAATAAACTTATAACAAGACACCTGCTCCATACGCCACGAATAACATCTTGCTAACATTTCATCGAAACATTATGTAGATTTTAATTAAACATCAAACGTTCTGTAGGACTTAATTTAAAATTTACTCACGCAATATTAATATGGCGGGCGGTAATTTATGAAAATGTCACTAGTAAATCAGAGACATGATACATACCTCCGTTTCTGAAAGGGCGCTTTGAATTACCATTTCGACTGTTATTATTGCTCACCAGCTCTAAATCTAAAGCTAACGCGCCTCCACGACATGGGAGGGCCATCAAAATCCCTTGCTATGTTTAAAATAAAAATTTAACCCTAAGAGCAGTTTCATTTTATGAAGGTTCTTTATGTGCCGCAACATAGCAGATGCATTTATTTGTTCTTATAAAATTGTTATTGCCTCGTTTCACAATTTCTTACTTTCTTTTCAGGAACGTTTTATATTAAGCCGGTGGGCCGTTCGGTATTAAACTTTGCGGGTTTGTTTTAATAATGTACGAGCTCTTACGCTTTTAAACATTCAACACTGAATCTGTGAAGTTTTGTCTCTCGTTAGCTTGCTGCTCAGCGTAAGTTTCTTCCTGGAGGAATTTATTCCAATTACACACAATCTTGTTTCTAATACACAAAGTTGTTGAGTTCATAACTCAAACTGTCCGACGAGGGACGGTGGGCGCTTTTATAATTTAACGTGGCACGGCACGATATTGCACGTTATTATTGTAACGATATAATTTCCGCGACGATATCGTTAACGTGCATGAACATTTAAAAATACCGCCATATAATCGTACTAATATTGTAAATATGAAGTTTTTACATATTTTACATAGTTGTTTAGATTTGTAGCGTATTACTGGCCATCATAATACGCCTTTTATATAACTGGCTTTCATATTCTGCCTTGTATATTTTTATATTGATTTTATATTGTCTTATGTTTTTACAATTCTGTCTTTATTAGTCTTTGTTTTCCTACCGATGAAGACGTGATAAAAGAGAACTACAATATTAAGCATTTTTATTATCAACCCGCTTCTTTTAAGATTTATTTTTTTTTTTTTTACAACACAGGGGGCAAACGAGCATGCGGCTCACCTGATGGTAAGTGACTACCGCCGCCCATGATCACCCACAACACCTACGGCATTGCAGGTGTGCTGCCGGCCTTTTAAAAAGGAATATGCTCTTTTCTTGAAGGTTATGTTGTCGTATCGGTTCGGAAATACTGCTGCTGGAAGTTGATTCCAAAGAGTGGTTGTGCGTGGGAGAAAGTGCCTTGAAAAACGCACGGTGGAGGACCGCCACTTGTCCAGATGGTTGGGATGAAATTTTAGTTTATGGCGGGTTGTTGAAAATCTGCAGCAGGTATCAATCCGAACAATTATGATAAATTCGGTAGAAAATGCACAAAAATGCAACATCTCTACGCAGTTCCAGTGGGTCGAGCCGGACAGTAAGACGCCGATCGTCAACAATTCGAGCTGCCCGACTTTGAATGCGGTCTAACGGAAGGAGTTGGTACTGTGGCGCTCCTGCCCACAGGTGAGAACAGTATTCCATGTGTGGCCTCACTTGAGCTTTATATAGTTTCAGGCGGTTTTCTGGCGTGAAATACCGTCTCACCCTATTGAGCACCCCCAACTTTTTGGAAGCTATCTTAGCTTTTTCCTCTAGATGACCGCAAAACTGGACGTCGCTAGATATATCGACGCCAAGAATCCCCAGACTCGACTTATTATCGAGGGAAGTGCCCCGAAAGTAAGGAGATACGACAAACGGTGTCTTTTTTGCGGTGAACGCGCAGACTTGTGTCTTCTTAGGGTTAAAGTGAACAAGATTGCGTTCACCCCAGATCGAAACTTTGTCGAGCGAAGTTTCGATTTCAGACACAAGTCTGTTCCGGAGCTCATCGGTATGTGCCCGCGAGATCTTTGCATGACCGGTGTATAATGCATCTCCTGTACTGTCGTCTGCATAACAATGAATATCACTGATCTGTAACATATCATTGATATGCAGAAGAAACAGTGTCGGAGATAGTACACAGCCTTGCGGGACACCAGCATTCACAGGTTTTAAGTCAGAGCATGCTCCGTCGACTACGACCTTAATGCTACGTTCCTTAAGAAAACTGGCGACCCAACTGCACAATCTCGCAGGCAACCCAAACGAAGGTAGTTATGAGATTAGTGCCCTATGCCACACCCGATCAAAGGCTTTCGCAATATCCAGACTAACAGCTAAGGCCTCTCCCTTATTCTCGATTGCCACCGCCCATCGGTGTGTTAAATAAACTAAAAGATCACCAGCCGAGCGCCCCCGTCGAAAGCCGTACTGGCGATCTGAGATCAAGGTACCGGAGCAGTTGATGGTTAACAACTGATTCCATGACTTTCGAGAATAAGGAGGTGATAGCTATGGGCCTATAGTTAGCTGGATCTGATTTTATTGCTCAGTCTTAAAAAGCTGAACAGATTTGGATTAAATTTGGCAGTCGGGTAAATTATATCGTAATTTATATTTAGGTAATACCAAAAAGGACGCAAGTATTGTTAATAATGGGGTTTAATAGCCCCATTGCCAGCAATATACCCAATACAGGTCGAACACCATACGGTTTCCCCTGGAAACCATCGTCGTTGCTTCTAGTCAAATTCGTTACGATAGAGGCTAAGAGACTTGTTTCCATCACCATCCATCCCTCACTGGTACCCCACCAACAAATAACGATAGGCATGCGTTACCATGTCACTTTGACCCATTATAAATAAATAATATATGATAAATAAAATGCATGCGAGTAAAGCCCTGGGGAACAACTAGTTACATATATGTATTTCGCTCCCCTATTATACCATGACGGTACAAGCGTACCATAACGTGTCGTGTAATGACAGACAATGCATTTACTACATAATGCATTACTTGTACAAATTTTTGCGAAAAATGATATAAAAGACGTGAGAACAGAAATATGGGAGGGAAATCTCAAATGTAAATTAAATCTAGACCGTGGTCAAAATCTTGAATAGCAGCTTCAACATTTGAGAGCCAACGGGGAATTCACAGTAGTGTTCGTGAGATGCATATTTATACTACTACAGTGAGGTAGTGTGGTGACAGAAAACTTAGAAACACGTGTAGAACAATGGCAGCAGGGATCATTTTTCAGCGCAATGCGAAATGCAAGGAGTAGAAAATGCATGCGTGTAATAGTGATTGCAGCAAAACCCTATTAATATTTTAAATGCGAAAGTTCGTAAACGTAGATGGATGTTTGTTACTCTTTCTCGCAAAAACTACTGAAAAGATTTAAATGAAATTTGGTAACCGGGTAGGTTACATCCCGAAGTTAGGATGTACCTAACTTAGGATATAGGATAGGTCTTTATATATTGATTAACGGGGGCAAATTCGTGGGATACAGCTAATAAAATATATATTTTCCCAGCTTCAAAAAAATAATATGACAATCGGCATCGGTGCATCATCTTATAATTTTATTATATTAAAATTGTAACAGGACAATTTCTGTATAAGGGAGATATTAAAAAAAAAAAATACTATGAGGAGGAGGAGGAATAATGAGATCATTAGATGTCAAAATAATATTTTTTAAAATTAAGTCAATATATATATATATATATATATATATATATATATATATATATATATACGTTTGTTCTGACATCAATAAAAACTGTTGTCATAAATTAGCTGCTGTTTTCACTTTACCAGAATAAAGGTTATAGCATACAGGATATACAAGACACTATAAACGAGTTACTGATGAATGACTCGTACTGAATTCTGTGATATTCTAAATATTGGCAATCATCATACTCTTTGTCTTATCCATTTAAGACTTAACTCACTTATTTGTACCAATACCATTTGAGAGAATTCAAATATTAGAATTTACTACTGCAGCACATAAATCCATAAATCTAATAAATCACATAACTATTACACCAATTACGCAACGGTCAGCGGTCCCTTAATCTGTATGGTCGGTCCCAAGTTAGAAAAAGGGCTCAGGCGGGACCCAACTTATATTCAGGCTGTGCCATGATTCAAATTGATTTATGTCCACCGATAAGCAGATCGGAAAGTTCGCAAGCACTGCCGCCGTTTTAGGAAGGCTTCCAAATCATGGAGAACAGGAAAAACTATAGTTTCACTCTTCACGGTTGCGTAACAGAGAGTGCTATTGTAATAAGTTATTGGTGGAAGGATTTGAGGCTATAAGTTAGCCGGCGCACGGCTGCCCTGATTCCCGAGATATTGATCTGTGTTACGCCCGGCCGGTTGAGATGAAAAACGACTAGTTCAACCGGGAGGTATTGTAAACATTCATTATTATTAGCCGGTAGTTCAGTGTTGAAATTGAAAAACTCGTTTTCATATTCTATCACGCTTTTTCTTCAATACTCATAACCTTTCTGAAATTATCGAATTGTCTAGATAGGTCATATATGTATTTTAGAATTTAGCCAATTGTAACAAAAAATAATTTGTAAAATTTGCCTGATTCTAGCGAATGGTGCTTCAAAGTAGTACACAAATAATTCAGATATCTTCATACTCGTATATGAAAATTGAAGAATTTTTGAGAAACAATGTAACATCTATAAGCACATGATCTGCCGAGAATAAAAATACGGATATAGAGAACTTAAATAGTGATTTAATGAGGGTTTATTTTTTTATAACAACACATAATATCTTATTTGAAGCAATTCTTATAGAAATGAAATATTCCAACATAAATGCACCATATCCATCACAGGTAATCGGAAACGATCATTGCAAAAATGAGTATAATTTACTGAGCCCCGCATTTTACAGTCGCTCCAAATTGCTGTCATTATATGCTACATAACACCGTGGTGCACCATAACGACTGTCCATTTGATTTCGCTATTCAATAACGGTGCAATTATGCAACAGAATTAAACTACCCATCTGGTCTTCTTTATAGGAGGACCAATAAACAGTTTTTCTTCCTCTCGCCTCTTCTTCATAGGTACCATGCATTTCATGGAACTACCAATAGCAATCCTTTCCATTACACAGTATTGTTTCTCGGACAACGGCCTTAAGACCGCAAAACTGATGCCCAGCGCTTTGCCCTTTAATAAATCCTCTGTCAATATCGAATTATCAAATAGCTTTGTTTTAATATACTTGAGCAAGTAATCTAAGTCCATGTTTGATAATTTGAAAAGAGCTGCTACAGCTACCTTATCATAATCTTCAGAGTCTTTGAATTCAACTTCTAATTTTATGTCTTCTTCTTCTTTAGAAGGATATATAATTTCTTGAATTTGAAAACGGTTTGGACCAGCTCCAGTCAAAAATGCACATTTGAAGTTGTTTTGTTTAGCAATAACGTTGTTAAGCCATGTACAATTACGCTCGAGGGCTTCGAGCAAGTAATTCATAAAATCGCTCACTTCATTCTGTTTCTTATAAGATATTATAGCGGCCAAAGCTATATCCGGCAGATGTTCGGGGTTCTTGTCTGTAAGCTCTCGGATGTGCCTAATTGGTTTCTTTGGAGTCATTGTAATTGTCAAACGCTTGACCAAACTCAACACATTACAGAATATATGTATCATACGTTTTTTCTTGTAACGGAAAATTTTGCTGTATTTAATGTACTGAAGGCTAATTTTTGTGCGTGATGTTTGACGTTTTTACGTTCTTTTTTTCTTTCTTTTCATTTAAGAGTTTCCTGTTGTCGGTGCAATTAATTCATACATTTTCTTCCAGCCAGCTCTATCCCAGGTCATATTTTTGACCTCCGTATACGACATGACACCTAGTGTTTCATTTATCTATCCCATTTAGTTATTCTTTACTTCTTATCTTACTAATGTCTGCTGTAATACTGTCATTCTCCCTATCTCGATCGCTCGCCTCTTGCACCCCTAATTTACGTTTTTATATATTATTTTCTGCTTAATACGCCATCAAGTAGTCTATTTCATTGATTTTCCTACATCTAAAACCCACGCGTATGAAGTAGCGGGCAAAAGCTAGTCATTTTATATAAAAAATTTTGGAACACTGTGAAGAAGTTTGTGTATTTGGTACAGTTATTGGATACAAAATTGAATAACATAAAAGATGTAAATTTGAGAAAACAAATATATATTGTATAATACGAAAGTTGAAAGATGCAGGTATCATAAGTGGCCTAGACTAGTCTATAATGATTAAATAGAAAATGTAGCTATTTGATTAAGGAGTCAAAAATCTCATGAATTGGCGCATATGCATGAAAGGAATTAATTAAGTAAATGAAGCAAGATATTTATTAATTTATTTATAAATTACTTACCATACTTACAGTATCCCAATACGTGCAGTGATCCATAGGTTTATTTTACAAACTTATAAATTTTAAACAACATTTCAACAGCCGACAGTAATCGATAAACACGCAATCGCATGCAGCATTGCGGTGCGTACAAAGATAACGACTGAGAGTTGCAGGATTGTCTGTTCTGCCGTTGACCAAGCGATATGGCCTTCGGTTCTGAGTCCTCTCTGCGTTCTTAGCGTAATCTTAGATAGGCATAATAATATATTCTTATTGCAAAGTTAAAAGTAATACAAAAATAACAGATAGAACGTCCATCATTTATTAAATCCTCTTAGTGAAATATCTTCAATTCTACCTTACAGTCTGAATTGTGGTTATTGAGAATTTGCTTAGCAATTATTCGCCCGCGTAGACGCTCTCGCCACTTAGTCAAATCTAGAACCGGTAGTAAATAAGTTAGCTAAATGTAGTTTCAGATTATTGCGAATTTATGCCATTTCAAAATTATTATTCAGCCACTTTCGTAGTATGATATTCTAACATTTATTTAATATATTTTGGGATTGGCTAAATCTAAATAATATTAAAATAAAAAATATAGAGGACTATAATATCTAATGGGGTAGTCAGAAGCAATTGATCGTCTGCTACCGTTGTGGTTAAGCGTAAAAATAAAGTAGGAGTCAAAATAACATTTTACGCTAAGTTATAAATTACTAATATTATAATTCTTATTAATTAGGTTAAAACGACAACAACAAGTTAAAACGAACCGGTAACTTATAGCGCCTTAACGGCTTAACCAATCATTATAAAATTTGGTACACCGTACAAACTATATGTATATCCACTCACTTTTTATCCCGGTCAGTAAAGATATCCTGGTCACTCGAACCAAGTCGCAAATAAAAGTTAGTATAATATAAAATTTAAATATACATATTAAAAAGTAACCAATCTTGTCTACTAGAGGTTTTAAGATCATTTATCATTATTAAAAGATTAGTTTAACTGACGGCAACAAAATGGAGGCTAATGATATACAAATGTCCGATGAGTTCAATCCGCACACAAAATGCTAACGGTATGATCTCGTTTCTAGCCAAACTATTGTTTCAATTCAAGTCAATTGACAGACCCGATCTCTCTATTTTAAAAGGTCGTGGCATTTAGATTTTTTAGGAATGAAGTTAGAATAGCGTACCCCCCTTCTCTGCTCCCCCTAATGTTATACGGTGCCCATGGTATAAAATGACGAAGCACTAGTACAGAATGAAACGCTGAGGATAAAAGAAAAAATTCACAATAATTAGCCAATTCAACTCAGGTCCAGTTCTGGACCAGTTGGCCAATTATTGTGAATTTTTGGTTTAACTCTAAAACTGTGAATTGAGAGGCCCCAGCAAATGTTAATGCCCCTTCCTCCAACCCTCCACCTTTGTAAATCAATAACGTTACATTTTTAAATTTATATCTCAAGCATTTTAAAGCGAATTTAAATGTGAATAAATTGCAAAGACACCAAGGCAATGTATGCCAAATAACTGAGAGCGTTGGCTAGCCGTTTCCGAGAAATATAGTTGAAAAAGTGATAGAGGGTAGGGAGAGTAGTGGTTTACCCTCCGATGGTTACAGGTTCAATACCAGCACGATACAAACATTTGTATTCATAAGTACATCTGGGTATTTTCTACGTATTACCTAAAAATTTAATTATTTAAGTATTTCTATGTCGGAGTTGGAAAAGGGTTCTTTCCATTTTGAAACAAATCTGATAAAATGAATCCCCATTCCGTGTGTGAGAATACTACGCTTGAAAACTCTGTGAGAAATTAGATTTTACAAACGGAATATAATACTAGGTCTTCTTCGAATGGATTACTGTTTAAATTCACTTTAGGAGTATAGGATTATGGGATAAAGGGCAACCCTTTTTCAATATTTTTCTAAGAAACTTATGTAAGTAGATAGGTGTAATTTAATTTCATTGCTTACGTTGGAGTAGAATAAAACAGCGTGAGTAATAAAATGCAGCAAATAGTAATGGAGTCAAGTAATTGTATGGGAAAATATTTATGTCCAGCTATGGGATTGTAATAGCTAAAAAAATGTGAATTAATAGTGATGCCGATGACGTGGTGTAGACTCTAATCCTCAGGAATGGCAACGCATGGGAGGTATCATAGGCGAAACAGTATACTCTGTTATGTCCATGGTAAAGCTCATGTCTATAGGCGACGGTTACCACTTTCCATCAGGTGGGCCGTCAGCTTGTTTGCCATTCTAAGTTGTATAAAAAAAATCGCAGTTCGCAAATATTAAAAACTGTGCTATAGCATTGAGAGATTTTAAAGATAATTAATCCTCCTTACCAATATTATAAATGTGCAAGTGAGTTTGTTTGTTACATCTTGACGCCTTATCTGCTTAATCAATCACTATGAAATTTAGTATACAGGTACTATATGGGATGGTGAAGATTTTTTATTCTGGTCAATGCAGATATATCTTCGTCGCTATTAAAATTAATAAATTAGTACTTATACTTTATTTGAATTAAATAATATAGGAAATAGAAAGATAGGGATTGTTAGTAATGGGGTCTAACAGCTCCATTGCTAGCAATATACCTCAACGCTGTTCCCCATAAATACCATCGTGGTTAGTTCTTGTAAAAAACGTCACGATTGGCTAACTGACCCGCTTTCATCCTCACCTGTCGTCTTTCACTGGTGCCCCGACACCGTATACCGATAGAGCATTAAGGTTATGATTCCATTTTCAACTATTAAAAAAAAACAAAGAATATGACAGTTGTCCTATTTTATTCTTTATGTATAAGTACAATAAGGCAGCTTTATTGCTGAAAGCAATCTTTAAGACAACGGATTAATTGTTAGTCATTAGCCATTAGTCATTTATTTAAAAAACAATGTACATTGTGTCTAAAATAAGGGATAATCATACAAAACACATACATGTTGTACAAACAGGTATTACAATCTTATATATAAAACTCTCATATCACGGTGTTTGTGGTCAAACTCATCTAAAACGAAATTTGTTATGTATATTTGGTAAGTATGAGAACAGATCGTAAAGCATATTTCATATCACTAGGTGGTATTGGTGTCTCTATCTAGAAAATATCGTTTATATAGCAGAACAACGTTTGCTTGGTCATCTAGTACCTAATGTATAATTACGGAAGTTCGAAAGAACAGTTTAATAAACATTTAAAAACTAGAAGAGTAATAAGGATGAGTGTGTGGCAAGACGAACACAAATAATTACTAATGTATAATATGTATTCTGTTCTTAAGACATGAAGTTTCCTTATTAATCTGTAAAAAACAACAGTTGTAATTGTTACAAAATTAATATGACAGAAACTTTATTGATTGCAAAAGTACACATTAAACACATTACATACAAAATTAATCTCTCTTTTTTTATAACTCTCAAAAACTAAACAAACATCTAAGTAACAAAAGAAACATATGACATTTGCAAGTGTAGGTATAGACGTCACCAGTGTTGCTAGATTTCGTATTTTTTTCACAGTTTTAGGTAAAAGTTTTAGTGAGCGTGAAATTTTAAAGGATTTAAATTCCTGTAGAAATTGTTGGAGAAAAGTGAAGTGGGCTTGGAGAATACTCAATAATTTTTTAGCAATTGAAGTAGTCATAAATCATATAGTGTTAAGTATATGAAATATATGAATGAAAATATCAAAACAGAAAATAGGATAAAACAAGAAAGCCAAAAATAGAAACATACGAAAGCACGTTTTATTTTTGACATTTTTTTTATGATTCGTGGCAAAACGTAGTGAAAACCGATACAAAATTCTGATTGGGTAAAAGGAAAAAAAAAACAACTTATTGAATAAAAAAATATTGAACATTTGGGTAAAAATAAAAAATCGCATCTGGCAACCCTGAGCGTCGCTAATAGTACGCATTATCTAACAGCTATTCAATTGGACACGACACAAAAAACCGGTTATAAAAAGTCTAAAGTCTACAATATGTGACGCTAGCGACTAGCTAATAAAGTTGAAACTGTCTTCAAATTAGCATCCAATCCAAACGTTCATATTGTGATGAACATTATTACTTTCAGAAATTACCAGAGGGAGACTTTGTACAAAAGTCGATTGCTTGGTTACCTCTGTCCCATTCCTGAAGACTCAGGTGTTATTCATATATATAACAAATATAGAAAAGAGAGTGCTTTAGATCTACACTATAGGCCGGGGGAAAGGGATTGTTAGTAATTGGATCTAACAAGTTTTTTTTTATGGGTCAAAATGGTGTGGTAATCCCGCCTGTGCTAACGGGATACGCTGGCGGAACACCAGTGAAGGGTGATAGATGAGAATGAAAACAGGCCAGTTAGCCCATCATGATGAATTCATCAGGAATTAACAATGATAGTTTCCAGGGAGAACCGCAAGGAGGTCGACCTGGTTGGGTATTTTGCTAGCAATGGGATTCTCAGTCTCCATTACTACCAATCCTTTTCCCCTCGGATCTAACAAGTAGAACTTCACGCGGTTCCTCCTTGAAATAATAGATTTAAATGGAATGGTAACCCCGCCTGCGATATCGGTAAAATGAAGCAGGTCAGTTGGCCCGTTGTGATGAATTCATTAAAAATTAAATTCTACGGTGTCCAGGGGAAACTGCGTGGAGGTCGACCTATTAGGGTATATTGCTAGTAATGGATCTGTCGGATCTCATTATAAACAATCCCTGCCCCTCCCTCCCTCCCAACCATCGTGATTAATTCTTGTGAAATCCATCACGATGGGCGGACTAATCTGCTTTCATCTTCACCTATTATCTCTCATTTGTGCCCCACCAGCGTATACCAATAGCCCAGGTGGGGCGCCTGTTTGGGTTACCATTCCGTTCTCACCCATTAAAAAAGACCTGGAATAGGTATAAAAACAAGCAAGTACAACTGTATTGCTCGTGTGTAGGTATGTTTATAACGTAGATTCGCTTAATAGGGCATGTAGATAATATCAAAATTATGTCCGTAAGTACAATGAACTTTCATGACCGCTCAATTGCGATACAAATAGATCTATGGAAACAATTACTTATAAGTTTTCGTGTAAAAAAGTAGGTAGTTAGAACTCACGACTTTGCCCCGTGATTGAGATAAAAAAAAATTATACTACAAAAAGACAGAGAAATGAAGTTCCGGGTTTGATTCTCTGTGGATTTTTTTTTTTTTAATAAAAATAGAATGTTAGCCCTGCTTCCGCAATTGGAAGGGATATTCAGGTGAACTATCAATGAGTGATGATAGGTAGGTGAGGTTGAGGATAAAAAGTTGGCTCATTGAGAGGAATCAACCAGGATTGTTAATAAGAGGTACCGTATGGAAGATTTTTTTTTATACAACTTAGAATGGCAAACAAGCTGACGGCCCACCTGATGGAAAGTGGTATCCGTCGCCTATAGACATGAGAACTACCATGGACATAATATACTGTTTCGCCCATGATACCCCCCCATGCGTTTTCATTCCTGAGGACTCAGATGTTATTCCTCTGTACCCAGTAATACCAGATTGGTTATATTAACACAATAACACCTACCTATATATGTGCATAATGGAAAACGAAACTTATTGTAATCTGCTTAGTAAAGCTGATATCTTGGGGTGTAAAGCTGGTAGCTAGAAAAGGATTGTTATTAATGGGATCTAAAAGACCCATAACTCGCAATATACCCTAATAGGTTGACTTCCACGTGGTTCCTCCTAGAAACAATCATAACTGACTTGTTGTTGAATTCGTCACGATGGGCCACCGAGCTGCTTTACCCTCAATTATCATCCCTGACTGGTGCCCCGCCAGTGTATTACTATTCCATTTATGCCCATTATAAAAACCTAGATACCTAGGCCGAAAACGAACTTTGCATTTAGGTAAATAAGAATTCAAATAGACGTAGAGAAAAACAATAAATCAAATATAGTTAGATAAATTGCTGTAGAGACTATGCGAAAGCGGTAAACACAACCAAAAAAAAATACCGAGAAATTTGTGATATTACAGATTACACGAAACGGCGAGCGGGTCCGACGGAGGTCAAACATTGCGCGCGGAACGATTGACTAGACGTGACCTATTTATTTTAGATGCCTTCATCAAAACAATATAATCAACTTACCAAACAGCATTCACGTTATTTCACATAGTAGCTATTCCGTTACAAGATTCGCTCCAACGGCCAGCGGCAATGCTGTCAATGTATACACTCACACACAGAAACACCGTAGTAAACGTCATAACCTACGTTTACATGCCTAATTACACCATTTAACGTTGTTTTTCAACACCACCAACGACACAACACAATTAAAGCGACTTCATCTACAGTATATAACGATCACAGCCCTTATAATGTCCGTGAACCATATAAAAAACGTAATATTTGGGCAAAACGAGCCTAATCACCACTCCTTTTCTCTCACGTATTTCTATGATAGCGAACAGCTGCGGTGCGTGGTTGTTGAACCAAAACAAATACTACTTACGCCATCTATATTGAGTATCTTGATAAATATAAGATATATTGCTTTTGATAGAAGCATAGTGTGCATGTACTGTTACTGAAAGCAACCAGAATAAATGTTAGCAAATGCATAATAGATGGCAGTAGTAAATCATAGAACTTATATTCTATTTTTTAAATAATTTTGTTAATACTATAGATTCGCCTTAACTGTCTACGATTTATAATTATTAAATTTAAATAATGTTATTAAATATTATTTTCTTTACAAATTTTATTACAAATATGAGAAACAACATAATCGTAATACTCTAAAGAACTTTTTAGAATTAAAATAAATAGAATAATATTAAAAATTCATTCTGTCATTATAAATTAATGTATTAAAAAAAAAAAACAAAAATGAAACTCCGCCGTAACAGTGTCAAGAACTGCCGTGACCAGGATTCGAACCTGGGTTACTACGGCCACAACGTAGGGTCCTAACCACTAGACGATCACGGCTATCGGAGTTATGGGCAGTATTAGTGAAATTAAGTATTACATCTCAGAATGGTTAAACATAAATTTTATTTTAAATTATTTTTTATTTTAATATAAATTTTATATTATTATTTATTACTAAGAAAATGTAATTTATGATATAACAAGACATACTATAAATATCCGTCTATAATAATAAACAGAGTTACCGATAATCCTATGGACGTAAGCATGTTTGGAATTATTAGCACCAAGAACGTCACGCGCGCGTTGTCGAAAAACACGTATGTAACAAACATTAATACGCATCCTTTTGGGCACTTAGCCCATTGTTCGGACGGCCCATCAGGACCCCACTCTAAATACGCCGCTCTAATACGGTATTCATCTAAAATATAACTTGGCCATCCCTTTTTGGGTGAGAAAAATGTACATTTTCCGGCTTATTGATTTCAGATTTTTTTAATTATTAAATGAAAAAAGCATAATGGAGACACTTTTATAAACAGATTAAAATTAACAAAAAAATAAATTTATACCTATACATTATATTTATACATTTAACTATACTGTCTCATTTCAATTTTTTAATTTACTTGGAAAATGGTTCCAAAAAACATTTATATATTATTGTACATTTCTTATTCCTGGAACACATTTTTATTTAAATTATCGTTGATTCATGAAGGACTAACTGCCTTTTCCAGTGTATATAGCCGATAATTTACCATACCATTTTCACATATTAAAAAATCCAAAAATGTATAAAGATTACCTACCTACATATGAAATAAAGGATCAATATTTATCGTATATACATTTTAATTGAGTCCACAAAATATTATGCTCTGCAATAAGATCTTTCATCAATCAACATCTCTTCCAGGCTGTGCTATCAAAAGTTTTCTTATCGGCAGTACTATTATTTTGAGCTACTCACCTTCATATAGAACAAGAGCCGGCTACGGACAGATCTTCGTTATATTATAAAAGCTAAAAGTTTCTCTGCGCATGCCCCAAACACAGGTAAAAATGATCAGGGAACTAAAAGAGTTTTGATCATCGTAGCTTTGGCAGGTAACAACAGGTAACGAAAATGTAAAAAATTGCTTCCCAAAATCGTAAAAGTATAAAGTGGATTTTTTTTTATATTTTCCACCAGATGATCAATCTCAACTCTTTTACGACCTTATTCATAAAAGCTGAAACTTCCTACAAACCTATTTTAACTACTTTGTCACTCTCATTCAAACTAAGAATTTAGCAGAAAAGAAAGAGACAAAACAGTTAAATAGCTAAAATAAATTTATGAGAGTTTTGATGTTATTTGAATGGTGACCCCACCTACGCTATCGGTATACACTGGGTTTGATATTATTATGTACTAGGTTAGTTTATTTATTTGCACTTTATTGCACTGTTTATATAAATAATAAATACAACAAATTTTAATGAGAAGTGATAAAAAGGGAGATCTTATCGCTTAGCAATCTCCTTCAGACAACCTTTGGTTATAGATTATAAAGTAGGTACATGAGTTCATCATACTACGTCTATGTCTGTACTAGACAATTTAATTCAAATGTGCTTCAGGCTTTTTAGCACAAAACATGTTAGCATTTTTTAATTACAAAGCCATTTAAATTTTTTTACAAACTTTTATATTTATTAGTAGCTTTTTACTCGCTACTTCGTATGCGTAAAACTAACGATTTTAATCATTTTTCGATGAAGTATCAAGACAAAATATACAGTTTGGTGTAACAGTTTTTGCGTGACGACAGACGACAAATACACAGACGGCCAAATTTCTAAAACTTATTGTTTTGGCATCTATTGGTCTTATACCTAAGTCTAATTATGATCTCTCATTTGTTTTTTTAATATGTCTCTGTACATAGGAGATATTTAAAATTCTATTATATTAGTAGTATATTTTTGAGTTAATACGTAAAAATCCGTAGGTCTTAAGATGAACATAGAAAAGACTAAAATCATGTCTAACGTCCGTGTCACACTTATACCGGTTTTTTTTTTTTGATGGGTGAAAATGGTATGGTAACCCCACCTCCGCTAACGGGATACGCTGGCGGAGCACCAGTGAAGGGTGATAGATGAGAATGAAAACAGGCCAGTTAGCCCATCATGATGAATTCATCAGGAATTAACCATGATAGTTTCCAGGGAGAACCGCGAGGAGATCGACCTGGTTGGGTATATTGCTAGCAATGGGATTCTCCAGTCTCCATTACTAACAATCCCTTTCCCCCCACCTATACCGATTACGATTAGGAACACTACACTTGTACAACATTCGATTGCTTGGGTACCTCTGTCCCATTCGTGTTTCAACCGTGAAGCAGTGTGTTTGCATGGCTGTGTTTTGGTTTGAAGGGTGGGATATGGCGTGAATTTACTGGGTACAGAGGAATAACACCTGAGTCCTCGGGAATGGCAACGCATGGGGGGTATCACGGGCGAAACAGTATACTCTGTTATGTCCATGGTACTGCTCATGTCTATAAGCGACGGTTACCACTTTCCATTAGGTGGGCTGTCAGCTTGTTTGCCATTCTAAGTTGTATAAAAAAAAAAGTTATCGATGAGTATATACCTTAGACAAGTTTTCCGAATGGGTAAATCCAACTTCGACCGAGAGGTCAACCGACGAATTTAGCTCAGTTGGGCAGCGTTCGGGAAACTACGCCACATCTTTTCATCCAAAATACCTCAGAGTTTGAAAACGAAGGTCTTTAACCAGTGCGTGTTGCCAGTGATGACTTATGGAACCGTAACATGGTCCTACACGATTGCCCGTATGCAAAAGCTTCAAATGACTCAGCAAACTATGGAGAGGGCTATACTCGGAGTCTCTTTGCGTGATAAAATCCGAAACGAGGATATATCAGATTATTTACGTTAATTATGAAGGGATTGAGACTATAATTCTTAGGAAAGGACAAATGCGATTGCGATTGAAGATTGATTGATTGAAGGCTAGGATAGTTTGACATAATATCTACAATATCTTCTATAGGCGCATCATTCACCATCTTCCTACACCAGAATCTATATAATCAATCTTGTGCGATTTGAGAGGCATTTTACCATGCAAATAATTAGGTTCTTGAATTAGCTTTCTGCCGTAGAAGTTGCAATCATATTAATATAATAAATGCGAATGTTCGTAACGATGGATGAATGGATGGACGTAAGGATGGATATTATAAGATATATTAAATAAAAATGGACATTTGTTACTCTTTTACGCAAAAACTATTGAACAGATTTGAATGAAATATGTTACACGGGTAGGTTATACGCTAACTTAGAATATAGGATACTTTATGTATTATCACGCTGGAGGAGCCGCGGTATACAGCTAGTAAGATATAAGGTTCCTTAAGATTTGTCCATAGTCTATGAATAGTCCTTTATATTTATCTATGTTTTAATTATTTTGTATAGGTATACATTATTACTTGTTATTTTCTTTACCTATTACAATAATTAAGTACCACGTTCGTGATTCACTCTTCATGCCAATGGTTGACTGGGAGAAAATGCTACTAGCATTAAGTCCGCCGTTTGTACCTTATTTTGGTCAATAAAGTTATTTAAATAAATAAATAAGAAGCTCACGTCACAATATAAATAAGGAATATATAATAAAAGACACACATGTCATTGCTATCGTTTATTGATTTAAAATACAAAACTTAGTGACATAAAGCTCTATCCTTTTATTGTTACAGTGCCTGCGAACTGACAATCCGATAGGAAATAAACTTTTAGCTCATAGCTTCGCGCACCAGCACATGCCACCACTCTGATATAATCCCATACTGTCACAGTACAAATAAATAGTAATTATAGTATATTACATACTCAAGCGCAAACACCTAGGGCCTTTCTTGAGTAATGGATTTATAAACTATTCAATTAGGTTGGTGTTTTGTGTTTTATCACTTACTTTCTGACAAATCGTGATAACAATGTTGCGGCAGATTTCCTTTCGCCAACAAAACAAAACAATACAATGTACGGTATGTTAATAACAAATAATAATCTATTTTAATGCACGTAAACTTAATTATTTAATAATTATATTGCAAAATTTAATATTATAAAACTGAAGAAACATAAATACAATTGTACAATTGTAAAAATTTAATTATAACAATTTGTAATTGTAATACACATTGAGAACATTTTGGAAACCTGCCATTTCAATGCTCGACACTGCACTATCGTCAAATAAAACGTGTATCCCATACCTATTTTTATATTCATTCTAACAATCCTATAACCTCATGAAGCAGAAAAGTATTATAGTAGATATTATACAGATAGTTAAAAATTTATAATACAGAACAGCGAGATTAGAAATAGATTCAAATCTACAATGAAATTGAATAAACTATTTTATCAGCACTACACGAAATGAACGTTGAAAAATACTTTAATGCTTCATGCAAGAAAACAAATTGCTCGATCACACATATACTTGTTAAAAAAAAATTATAGTAGTGTTGTAGTACTTTTTTTTTTTTTTATAAAAATTCACAGCAACGGTTTGCAGTCAGTACGAAATAATCTGCGTTCAGTTGCGACATCGTCGAATCAGCAGCTTTACCCAGGACCAAAATTACGTCAGTCAATAATTAACTAAAATAATTAAAAATTATATTTTACTATATATACGAGTTCTGGTTAAAGTTGCTAAGTTGTGGGCCCGCATTCGAGCGACTTTTGCGCAGGCTCGATATAGTTTACTCGATCATGTTGCTAATATGTACGTACTATAGCTTCATATTCTGATAAACAATATTATTATTATAACATTTCACTTGCTGCAAACACCTTTAAAACACAAGGCGATAGAAGCAAGATTTAAGTATATTCAAATTCAAGACTCCGTTAAACATATTAAAGGAGTCCCGTGTCTTATTGGAGAAATTAAACATTACTTAACTAACAAGGCAGTCTGCTTTAAAAGTGCACAGTCGAATGATGGGCCCACGCACAGTTCCGGCACTATAAGGCAGTGATTCAGTGTAATACTATACAAAATATCTCCGTTACAAAGTTTCGACCAGTCTGTTTGCAATGAGGTTAGTCTATTGTAGATTCAAATCCAAAAAGGTTGAACAAGTCAATAATTCACATTATTAATTCCCTATCTGAAATACCCAAAAATTTTATATATGATTCAACATTCTCGTAACCTACAAGTACATTTTGTGTTTTATAGAATTACCTAAATACTATTCTGTTTTACACATCGTCTGAATAATCCAACGGTTAAAAATAACCAGCGCTCGAGGCTGGCTCAAGTATCTGAGGTTCTCTGCGTCCTATATGAACAAGTTTGTAATGCGAGGGCATCGAATGAACAATTTTGATAATATAATCAGTCAAATAAATAAGCCAGGTGTGACAATATAATTCACTTTTGTGCATAAAACATACTTAAATCTATTACAATTGTTTGTGTAAAAAACAAATTCACATTGGCCCTTTGTTTTCAGTCATCAGTTGCCGACACTTTAAAAATATAAAGCTTGTGATAATTATAACTGAATGAAAGCCTAACTAGCATAGTTCGTAACTAAAGTCTAGACTATCCAGTTTATATTGCAGTCTGTATCCATTAGTCTGGTTCCCTAAATTTTATATACATTATTTATTTACTACCATATTGCGTTCTTGATATGCATTGCGTAACAATAAAAAAACCTAGCTTTCATGCCCTTTTATGCAACCGGTTGTGGTGTTTAGTTTCATATGCGGTCGTACGGAACAATCTCTAAGTACTGTCGAGTGAAGCCATTAAGAACAAATAATACATGTTACAACGTAACAAATCGTCACCAATCATATTTTCTTTACAGTCAGACTTATCGCATTAAATAAAAATATATAATTATAAATATGGATTCAGTCCAATAGTCCTGCCACAGATTGTACTAGAGTTCTAGTCCAACGCCGAGGTGTCTTGATTTCTCTAGAATTACTCACTACACTCGCTTCTATACCGTCCTCTAAATATAGAGTGATTTTATTTTACTTAAACTACACCAACAGTTATGCCCGTGCGCAGCGCTCTGCCTGCGGCTCGATATGGCCCGACTGCGGTCGTCCACGTACCTCCCTCACTAGCGGCAATGTCACGCAAGTGTGCGTAATTAACTAAACTCATAGTCCATACAGTACCAGTTAGCACACACAACCATATCTCTTTTGAGCACTTGTCTTATTATCGACTGTTCGTTACGACATTCCGAAGCGTCACGTCCACGAGTCCGAGTTCGGTAGGTCGCGAATTACACTAGTATTACGGTCAGCTAGAGTACAAAATCACTTATATTGACTATACATAGCAGTGTCTTATAAGCACCGTTAGTGTCCGTGGTGGTTATCGAGCCACTTAGAATCCCACGTTCGACGTTCGGTCCTGTGACTATCTCGAGTAACTTCGCGTCCGCCGCGCCACTAACGATCACACTGGACTGTTCACTCCATCTTTCACTTCAATAGACAAATTACGTGACGACGTACGGGTTGTCACCTCACTAGTTTAGTGCTGCTCCCTCACTTGCTTCAGGGACACTTGTTTTACAAGCGTCTGTTGAAAGTGAGATATTAATTTTGACTAGCGCGTAAAGTAAAGCAACGGCGAATAAACTTAATATCTGTTTTCGATGACCCGACAGCATAAGTGTCCACATGACGCTATCGCTCGGAGACAACAGGGCTGCAATGTCAGTTTGACAACCGTGTCAGTTTGTCTGGCGGCGGCGCTAGTGGCGCGACGCTAGTAGAGCTAGTGACGCTAGTAGCGGTAGTGGCGCTAGTGTATGGCGACAGGGCTGTGCTGCAATTGGCAAACGGGCTGCAGCAAGTCATCTTCACGCCGAACGCCTTCCACGTCCATTCGCTCGGAGCCGCCCCACAGCCGCGCGCCGCCCACTGTGGGTATACATACACGTTAAAATCGCTCATTATAACCGACCGCGCCGATACAGAAAAGTATTTGTCATTGAATTTTGATCTTTAAACTCTGAGACAAATAATACAATTTATAATAGGAAGAAAAACACAATTATCGCAATCTTGGAGTATTGCAAAATGTATTATAAAACATACAATATAAAATTAAATGGCAATCTTGTGCTGTATCGGATCAGTACGGTTGTATCGTTCTTTACATCTAAACGACTCAAAGGACATTTAAGCGCAAGTACACAGTACGGTGGATTAGAATCGATTATTTAATACGTATAATATACATACAGTATAGGGTTCTATTTTTGCTATTTAGGAACACTTTTATAGAGTAATAATTGAGAGTCAGTAGACTATCCTGCTATAGAATATTTTTTACACATTTGATGTGTGTGTGCCTCTGTTATACATCGAGTGTGTAAAATACTATACTCCTGATGTGTACAACAACTAGAACATATCAAATGTGTAAAAACCTATTTTTTTCAATGTGTGCGTCTTCTGGAAAACATTAAATAAGTGAAAATAAAAAGAACTGTGTGTAATAAATTAAACTACTTTGGCACACCACTGCTATCATTTAAAGTAATATATAATATTACTTTATCGACATTCAATTTTGTCACTTTAAAGTATGTATAAATAGAAGACTTAGAACCCATTTTATATACAAAAAAAAAAAAAATTATCCACAGATTGTGTATAATGTGCTTTAATGTCCATGAGTCACTGCATTCGGGGTAATAAATATGGGTGTATAATAAATGGGATGGAATAGCAATTGTAATGTAAAACACTGTGTTACTGATAAGCAGTTGAAATTAAAACATTTTGAATGTTGTCAAAATTATTGAAATAAAAGTAGTAACTAATACCGCATAACAGTTAAATAAATAGGTGTTACACTAAAATGTAATTAAAAATCTGCAGCTTTATTATAATAACATGAAAATGTAAAATCTAATAATTATTTTAATACTAAAATCTCATTTTTATAGATATTTTAATTTATAATCAGATTTATATATTGTTTAAAAAATTATGCAAAAACAATTCATATTATTATTTTTTTTATATGTTTTGTAAATAATGATTTATAATATGGCTGCAAATTTCAATTAACACAGAACATGCAACAACAACGAGATCATGCGTCGGACATGGCATTCGTCATCCGGGATTGGTTGGGCCTGGGACACTTGGGGGCGGGGGGATTACATTCTGACAAAATAAGATCAAGTTGGCACTATGCAACAAATTACACGCATATCACACGCGTCCACTATGTACTTATATATTTCTGTACATAGATGACAGACGAATGTTGTAAGTTATTTAGTTATTTTTTTTACAATATCAAAAAATGCGACTTATTTAGTGATTTTCTAAATACACATAAGATAATTATTTAAAATAAGAATATTATTAGCTTTTCATAGAGGATATTACACTATCAATATACAAGCACAGACCTTGAATTAAATAATAAATCAATAACAAACTATTGCGTACAGAAGATTTACTTTAGGGGAAAATTTCGAATAAAAAATAACTCTCGTATTAAGGGAATAAAGTACAATTTAGCCTTGTTCCTGGTCCCTATTTTTTAACACTTTTAAAAATATTAAAAGTGCTTTATGAATTAATATTTTTATTATATATGTGATAGTGTTTAATATGCTCCATAGAATAACATAGACATTTAATTTTATATTTAATTTGTTAATAGTCATAAGGTTCATTTTGCTGTGCAATTGTTTCCGTCGTGTCTATGCACGTGTGTTAAGGTTGTAATTTGTTGCGTAGTGCGACGATCTAAGACGCAGACCTGGCAGTAATCGTTAGGCACTATGGAGCAGCGTTAGTGTCGCGGACCGGGGCCGCCGGACCGCTCTAGTCATCGCGGGTCCGACGGGCCATCTGCCACGGGAATATTGCCATTATACACAATGTTATAAGGACCACTTTTATGCTTGGAAGTTGTAACAGATATTTTTGACAGTCTCAATTTAATAATCTTGATAATGATATAGAATATTTTAATAATTGTGTATTTAAAGTATTGAAAATGTGATTAAAATTAATACGAAATATTTTAATGATTGAAAAAATCCAAGTCTAATATAAAAATCAAATAGTATATTTGTCTTTTTGAAACTGCACATCTTTGCTAATTCTTTGTGATATACTCTTACCATCGAGCTTTCATTTGTTATTTTGCCCATTACAGACTCAATACACACAGCTACACAGCAGTTGTGTTTGCATGGCTGTATTTCGTTTTGGAAAGTGGGATATGGCAGTGGATTTACAGAGTACAGAAGAATAACATCTGGGCCCTCAGGAATGGTAACGAATGGGCGAAACAGTATACTCTGTTATGCCCACGGTACTGCTCATGTGTATAGGCGGCGGTTACCGCTTTCAATCAGGTGGGCCGTCAGCTTGTTTGCTATTCCAAATTGCATAAAAAAAATGTAAGCTGGCCATCAGAGTTGCAGTTTCGACGTACATTCCCAATTTTTCAATCACAAAAATATTATGTTTTCAATATTTAATCGAATTTTCAATGAGAACTACATTATACATATATGTATATATAAAATGATTAATAAAATAAGACTAATTTAACAGGAAAACTCCATGATGATTTTCATCGAAGGTATCTCTGACGTCATATTGATTAGTAGATATGAAATGATTAAGCGTTATGTGTTAGCAAAGAACACGACACAAGCTCGAAATGAATATGTTAAACAAATGGCCGATCTCTTAATACGTACATTGTTTCCAGAGCGAAAAAATTAAATACAATATTTATCAAATTTAAAAAATTATAAGTTAATCTGTAACGTTTATTTCATTGAATTTATACTTTGGATGTTATCTATTATATACGATTAGCTAACCAAACATACTGAGTTTTAACGACGGAATAATCTGTAAGAGCGAGAGGTCTATGATGATCAGTCGACGAAGTTACTGATCTTCCGCGAATGTAACAGATCGTAGAAAATTATATGCAACAAAATGAGTCGATGTTTCAACTTTAATTTTGTCACTCTGGAAATAATTATTCACATTTATCATAGACATATTCAATAAGTAGACATTTTCAACACAAGTTTTGGTTTATATTTTTTTTTTAATTTTAATTTCACAAGGAATGCCAATGATATGATAGGTAATTTACTTCTAAATTTATATACGATTTTGATCTAAGAGAAATATGATGGCATGAAACATATGCACATGCCATACATTGCCGACAAAGGAATAAAAATAGTTGATATAATATTTTCTCCTATTTTTTTTTAATTACGCCATACATTTTTAATTTATTATTGTATAGCTTAGTCTTAATAAATAACATAATAATGATTATGTTATCATTACTCTGTTTAATATACAAAACAATAGTTTAATATATTGTTCTTTTGAGTGAAACATTTTTTTATTATAAAAATTTTTCATTTGTTTCTGAAAATTATTAAATGTTACAACCGAAAAAGAACAAGTAGGCGATACAAATGCAATATAAAATAATGTCAAATAATATACAAGTATGAATTGAATTCAACAATGTTCAACCTTAGCACCATCCTACGTCCGTCGGCCATCAAAATATTCTCTTCTTTATTTATATGACATTAAAGATCATTTTACATTGCACTTCCCGCGCTCGCCTGTTCTCAGGCCGGCGTAATATGCACATCATTGTACACTCCGTGTTCAATAAGAGCCCTAACGTGTAAACACGAGCGTCGTATTTACCTTGCACCGTGGAAGTTCTGAAAACGTGGAATGTTCTAGAACTCACCGTGCTGGTGATGTGACTGCGCCTGCGCCTGTTGCGTGTTCGTCGACTCGTCCGCGGTGCGTTTGAAGAAGTTGTGCTGCAACGCGTAGTACGGCGTCACGCGTTGCTTGGGATCATATTCGAGCATACGGAGGATTAAGTCCTGAAAGATTTATGTAATTTTAGTATTATTTAAAAAGAAAAAAAAAAAAAAAAACTAAATTAATTAATTATTTACTCGTGAACTTAGTATAGGGAAATTTCCACAGAATAAATACTGAAGGTTCACTATCCTCAGAGAGAGTATGCACTTATTTAGATACAGAAACATGTTTAAGGCACAAAGAAATTTTTTTCAATGAAACCAAATTAGTATTCTCTACACTGATTTAAAATAAAAAAACATTTTGATGTAGAATTATTACGTAAGAAAACAACGAGGAGTGAAATAACATTGAAGAATGTTCAGATTACACCGAATTTTTGCAATCTTTTACATAACTCAAATTATTTTTAGTAGCAATTAACAGAAGTTCTGTTAATTGTTTCACGATGTTTATAATGCACAACAGTAATTTTATGAATTTACTGTTGACAAACAGTATTTTTGACATTTCATACAATTCCCGTTGTGTATTTATATAGATAACTCAAATTATTGGTACAATTTGTTTGTAGTAGGATTGGTGACAGGTTAAATCTACAAAAATATATAAAATCATCATCATATCGGCCCTTAACTATCCACTTGACTCGTGACCCTTGGGGGGTTTTGCCAATAGTTGAAAATGCTTGTCAATCGCAGTTAGGCTTTAAATATTTTAGAAAGGACGCTACTGCCCATCCCTTGACCATTAAGTTCCCTTAGTCGCCTCTTACGACACCCACGGGAGAAGAAGGGGTGACCTATTCTACGCCGGGCCCACACGGTCCATTGTAGATTTATCATTTCATAAAACGAGAAGAACGGGCAATAAAGTTCAGTTAAACTGCAAAGGGCAGGCAATAAAATGGAGGAGTTACCTTGAACTTGAGGTAGTCGGAGACGGAGTGGCCGGGCTCGCCGCGGCGGCGCGCGGCCGGCCCGCCGCCCTCCACGCCGAGGATGTCGTGCAGCCGCCGCGTGCCCGCCGCGCGGTACTTCCTGTAACCGCTGTTCGAGTTACCGACAACTGTCTCGTCTCACTCTTACACACTCATACACATACACACACACACACACACTAAACATTCTTTACAAGCTCATCCTAACATGCTTTTATCGGAGGGAAAGGAATTGTTAGTAATGGGGTGTAATTTTCCCATTACTATTTTTTTTTTTTTTTTTATACAACTTAGAAGGCAAACAAGCTGACGGCCCACCTGATGGAAAGTGGTAACCGTCGCCTATAGACATGAGCAGTACCATGGACATAACTGTTTCGCCCATGATACCCCCCATGCGCTGCCATTCCTGAGGACTCGTATTCCTCTGTTAATTCTTCAAACCGAAACACAGCCATGCAAACACAATTTGACGACTTTTGTACAAAGTCTCCCTCTGGTAAATACACATTATTATGTCGACCTCGACGCAGTTCATCCTGCAAACCATCGTGGTTAATTCAAGTTGAATCCGACACGGTGGACTAACTGACCTGCTTCATCCTCACCTATCATCCCTCACTGGTATGATATCCCTCCAGTGTATACCAATAGCACAGGCGGGGTTACGATTTCATTATCACCCATTAAAAAAAAAAACATGCTTGTGTTTTGCAACATTCATACATACACACATGCACTGGACTCTACAAGGTCATCAGACACTGCTGTGAGAATTACCGATACTTGTTTCGTGTTCGACAGTCAACACACACTACCTTTCTTTACAAGATCATCTGGCAGTGTGATCTACCGATGCTTGTGTTTCGTTAAACACGCATACATACAACTGCACAGTGTACTGCAGAAGATAGTTCCGGATACGGGTCTCTTGCTAGACATATTCGTGCATACACACACACAAACACACACGCACACATACTAGACTATGTACAGGGTTATCTGTAAGCACTGTGCGCGTTATCGACACCTGTCTTTCGCTCGATACTCATCTTTCAATATTTACACACATTGATGAGGATACACACTTTCAAAGCACCACTGTAACGTAACCATACCACTACTTAAGCTTACAGTAATATATAAACAACTCTTTGGTAGTCAGAATTCCTCCAGCGATTTACTGACCGGATTAGATTATTGAGAGAGATTTTACACAATAATAAATAGTTTACTCCTTAATTTTAATGTTATAAATACCGATTTAACTTACGTGTAATTAGTCGAACAAGCTTAATCAGCCGCTCATGATTAAGGGTCCCGAATTGGTCCCGAACCTAGTCGAACTTTCTCGATCTAATTACACGTAAGTTAAACCTGTAGTTATTACATTAAAATATAATGTGTGCTTACGAAACTTTTAATACTAAAATACTCCTTAATTACTTTAAACACTTACCTTCCATCTTTCCCGTTGACTTTCTTTAACACATAGCCACCACCTTCGGAGGCTGGTAATTTGTCGAAGAACTTTCTCGTTTTGTGGGCCTGAAAATATAGTTTAATATAATATTTAATTAGATAGACCTAATTACCAGTATAAATGTTGCATATACCAAATTTTTTAATGAATGAATGATAATATATTGTAATAATCCACAATACATATAATAAAAAAAAAAATTACAACTATAACACAGATTAGTTGAATTTCGGTCAGTGTTATGGAAATGACAAAAGATGCTAATTCAATTTAAAGCTCCTGCAGAAGTAGCAACTCTGTTTTTTTAATTAGCACCCAATTATCTTGCCAGTTCCACCAAGTTCAAAAATGAACATTTTATAGTATATTTATATGAAGATGATCAATATAGATGTGTATGTAACTATTTATCCATAATAATTTTCAATACTTTTACTACATTTCTGCCTTGCCAAAGGTTGGCTCGCAAAGAATACTACATGGCATTAAGAACTAAAAATATTTTTGTAAAGTAATCAACAAAAAATAAATAAATAAACACTCCAAGTAATATGCCTGTTTTCTGCATCACGCTAGCTCCATTTATCCCCTACAATACTAGAGTTTTTCAGACTAAAAAAAAATCTCTTTGATTGACTTGTATTAAACACATACCTGATCTAGTAAATGATCGGGTGGCATGCCGAGCACTTCGACGATCTTGTTCATCTGGTCGAGTTCATTGGCGCCGCTGAACAGCGGCTCACCTGTGTGCATCTCGACGAGTATGCAACCTAGCGACCACATGTCTATCGCGAGGTCGTACGGCACGCCGAGAAGCACCTCCGGCGACCTGTAGAACCTCGACTGGATGTATTGGTATATCTGAAATTAAATACACACACATACATTTTATATAAAAACCTCTGGTTGTCTTTTCTTAAACAAATGCAGTGGATGATCTGGTAAAAAGTAAAGCAAAAAGATAAAAAAAAAATAGAAATATGACATGAAAGGGAATTAGTAAATAGACAGATATTGATTACTCGGTCGCAGTATGAAAATAAATCCTAGTACATTATATTTAGTGAAAGTATCTACGATTTATTTACTATAAACAATAAGTAGATACCAATAAATACTCGTAATTTGCATCGACACGCAAATTCAACAAAGTAACAGATAGCAAAGTTCATAGTTTGCCCCTAATTAATAGCCGATCACCACGTCACGACATTAAAAGGACGCCGATCAGACATCAACACAATTTATCTGTAAACAACCTAACTATAATTTACTAGGAATTTTCAGTAATGGGTTGAAATAGCCACATTATTATTTATTATTAATATACCCTATCAGATCGTCCTCCATGAGGCTCCCCCTAGAAACCAACTTGGTTAATTCTTTATGAATTCATCAGGATGGACTAACGGACCTGGCTTTTATTCTCATCTGTAATCTCACACTGGTGTCCCGCCAGCGTATACCGATAGCGCAGGCGGGGCTACCATTCCATTATCACCGATTAAAAAAAAAAACATAATTTACAAGTACAAGTGATAAGAATAATTATAATATTTGAGACGCAATTGGCGATAACCCCTGCCATATCGGCCACTGAATCACACGCCCCCAATGAGATAGATTTATCTGCGCAATTAGCGTACTGGCAGTCGACTATATAAATCGGAATATTTGAATTAACGTTAGCGATCATAATTTAAAAGCACTCATTACGGACGGGCGGATTGTGATAGGTTGATAAATGATGAAGAGATGGATTTTACTAGAGAAATGTATTGTTAAACAACCATAAGAATAGAAGATAATGTCAAAGATACAAGATATATCAAAATTATAAATTAAAATTAAAAAAAAAGTATATAAAAAAAGGTGTAAAAGATCTTGCATCGGCCGGTCGCAAATAGCACTATTTAACACTATTCATTAAAAAGACAATAATGGGTTTCTTCAAAAATGGCGTCTTAAGGCTTCATCAGGGTCGGCAACGCGGACGTGACACCCCTAATGCTACAGGCGTCTATAGGCTAAAGTGAGCGTTCACCATCAGAGCTGTATGCTTGTTTAACACCTTCGTGGTATAAAAAACTCAGCTTTGTTAGAAATAAAGAGATCTTCATTAAATTAAGAATGATTAAGAATAACTACTTTTATAGACTGCTTTTTTTTATATACTTTATTATATAATTGATATATTATTCATAAAAACTAAGTCATAAACACATCACATGTTTCACAAACATATACTCTATTTAATTCTCTTGCGTTAATTTTCCAATGTGAAAAAAAAACCTTTATTTAAAATATTATTTAGTTTGTAGGAAGTTTTAGCTTTTATGAATACAGGAGTAAAAGACAAAGGCCTGCATAGACAATGAGTGATTTTTCCTCGGTCTAAAATAAAATGTATGCGCAGGCTTTCAATTAATAAATCGAATGAATACTCACCCTTTGACCTAGTTGACACGAACTCCCGAAGTCTACAATCTTAATGGCTGACCGCTTCGGATTACATAGTAGAATATTTTCAGGCTTAAGATCACAGTGAATTATATTTAGTTCTGTAAGAGAAGAAACACAACAATTAGTTTACTAGTGAGAGATTGAAAATCATGTGCATAGGCATCTGCCTCTGCCTCACTCGTGTCTTTTTCATCAAGCAGCTATGCTTGCAGGCTGTTTCGGTTAGAAAAGCGGGACATGGCAGTGAAATAATAGAATTTAGAGGTATATCACCTATGTTCACAGAAATGATAACAACAAGAGTCATATTGTGTGGTGTAGTTTATGTCTATAGGCGATAGTAATCACTTTACATTAGGTGTCCCATCAGTTTATTTGCCATTAAAAGATGTATAAAAATATTGTTTGATTCGAAAACCTTTCTTGGGGAAATTTGCTCAATTTCTATATGTGATTTCATATATTTTCTATGTTTTATATATAAAAAATACACTAGCACATACAAAGGAATACCTATAGGATGTGCATATCATACCTATATATGAACAGAATTAAAAAAAAATGTAAACAAAGAGTAATTGATGTGACCCGTAAGACAGTCTGTCGATCTTTAATAATAAATACAACAAATAAAAAATCGATTAATTGTTGAATATTTCGATTTGTCACTAAATGCACTTAGAGAGCGTTTTTTTTTCTTTCTATGTCAACAAAATTTGGTTACATCTGCATTAAACCGTATTGAAACATGTATATAGTACAAGTATCAGCTTGCATATGTACCTTAATCCCTTCAAGTGTAATGAACATTTAGAACAACACATTGTACAGTGTATCGATGACAATCTTACCAGGCTGACTAAGGAACAGTAACGCGGTGCACAACTGCTGAGCAAACTTGCGCGTCAGGTTGAGCGAGACGCCGCGAAAGTTGGTGTTGCGCAGTAGATCGTATAGATTGTACGACAGCAGCTCAAATACCAAGCACAGGTGGTTGCGCCACATGAAGTGACGCTTCAGTTTCACTGCAACAGGAAAAAAAAAATATTTTAACTAATTTAAAAAATGAAGAAATTGTTATTGCGACTGTATTTTTGCTGCAATCTACAATTCTACAAATTCTACTCACTTTATGTTTAAATTTAAAGGTATGTAAAAATGTTTATAAGTTTCTCACTCAATCTCGCTTAAACGACTAGATGGATTTGAATGAAACTTAATACAATGGAAAGGTTTAATACATGGGACACTTTATATACTTATCCACGAGGGTAAAGCCACGGGAAACAGCTAGTGTACAATAAAAAGGAATATAAGACAGATGATAGTACTACAAAAATATGTGAAGGGGATAAAATTGATTTACCTGAATAATTGTAAAATAAAATTTTTAAAAAACTTTTATACGTACTTTACAAAAATATGTTTAAAGTAAAACAATCAATTATTGCGAAGCCTTTAATAATGTAGTTACATGCCAATTGTAGGCATATGGATGTATCTCTAATAAAGTCCTGCAAATAATTATCTGATTACCTCCATTAAACAATTACACCCTACTATGAATGGAAATGGTCTTGTAACGACAATAAATTACAAAGGAATATACTGAGATAATTACGTATGTAACTAAAATGTGACCAATAAAACATAACGTGTAACAAATACATAAACGGGACAATTAGAAGAATTTAAAACTAATGAATTTATTCGGTCGCTTATTTAGAAATAACTAAAAAATATTAAGTTGGATTAGCAATTAAATTATATTTTTAAATAAATCGAAACAATAGTCTATACCATAATTGCTCTACTTAGTTCGCGACTAGATGGCGCTGTGCGCAATAAAAAGAGCAAATGTTTCTAAACAAATTATACAGAATTAATTAGTTCTGTAAAAAAGACATAAAAAGATATAATTATATTTTCCATTTCTTTTTTCAAGTTTACGTTATAAGAAAATGTTAAAATCGTAACACATTATTTCGTTAATTTGGGACTAGATGGCGCTGTGGGATATTATATATCCAGAAATATTTCATTATTTAAAAAAAATATAAGTATATAGTGTAATTGCATCATTATAATGTATTCGGAAGGTAATTAAAGGAATTAAATATATAGTTAAAGTGTACACAGACGTAATCGAAACCTCATCTGCATAGCCCGTGGGGTAAGGTTAGTTTATAATACGTGAGGAGAATATTCTCCTATAATACATAATAATCAAGTATTACTTGATTATTATGTACTTAGCTAACTTAACTAACTTAGCTAACTAAAAATCTTGGTGCGCCTCATTATATGCATATAGAATGCTCTCGTAGTTTGTAAAGAGTAAAAAGAATAAAAAAATATATGAATTAAAATTCATATAACTGAAGATAAGACATTGATTAGATTTTTTTGGATCTGAATTCAATAAACATGAGAAATACAGCTCATATGTGTGAGTAAAAGCGAGGGAAAGAATGAAATTAAATTATTTAGTACCGTCAACAATTTAGATCTTAAAAAATTTTTAAACTGCCTATTTAGTTGACATTTCGCTACATCTTTGTCCGTATATCTCACGAGTATTTACATGAAACGCACTTGTTTCATAATAAAGCTATATAAAATTGTAAAAAAAATGTCTTAATTATTTTAATATGAAAAAACATTACGTATTTTAAAACTGCATCCTTACCTATATAATACTTATTTTCAGCATCCGCCCTATTCATCATTTCTAGTAACTTGACTTCTATTTGTGCCTGGTTTAGGAAGGGTTTCTTATTCTTAATTATTTTTATCGCTACTTGACATTGCTCCTCGTGGTCATACGCCTTCACAACCTGTAAATGAAAATTCAACGTAAAATCTTCAATTGCTGCCAAAGTTGTTCCTTATAATTATAGGATGTGCTAAGCTTATTAAGTTCCTCTTGAACATCTTCACGACAAATCCCTTATAAGATAGGCAGAGAGAGAGCACAGTGCCCAAGGTTACTACCTTACATATATTTCTTGCTCTATGCATTTTCATAACTCGTCTAATGCATATACGCTGGCTCCTGAAACTCTTGGTACCTCTCTCAGATAGAATAATGATATATCTATCATTAACAATAACTAACCAACCAACTGATCATGATAGATTAGTACAAATCTCTCCTGGCATCTAATAATACCCACTAATAATAATAAGGCCGCCCACTATTTTCATAGTGTGATCTTTTCTTGCACTTTTTTAGTTTTAGCTAGGTTTACTACTTTAATCATTTGGAAGGAACAATAAAGAGAATCTGCCTACACATTTTAAATTAGTCTCGGATATTTTCATCAATCTAAGCCGTTAGTCCAAGATTATGTCCTCATAACGTTTCTTGAATCGATAAAAAATTCCCAAAAACGATTCCCCATTAAGGGCAAATTGGCAACAGTTCGGTAATTAAATAATCTCATAGATTCTAGATAAAAGAACAATATGAAAAGACTGACCTGTCCAAAAGACCCCTTGCCAATCGGTGATGAGATCTCGTACCGGTCGAGGAACTTCTCGCCTTGTTTGATGATGTAGTCATGGTTATCGTCATCGTAACCATCATTGTACAACTTTCTCTCCTTCTTGTGCGATCCATCCTCTCCCAGGTACTGTTGCGCTCTCCGTTTCTTCTTTGCATAATATACCTGAAGTAGAAGAAAAAATACCAATTAATTCATTATGTCAAGACTTTACAGATATTGTAAAACCATTTCTCACAGTAACTGATCACGTAACGTGATATGGTTTATTTTAGTTTCATTTTAGAGACTTCAAATATCACGATCAATCACGTAATTGACAAAATCCTTATTGGCAACAAATATTCGTCTGTTACAATTAGTACATCTTCATATATTTTTAATACTATATGAAATGGCAAAACAAACTGACGGTATCCGAAAGAAAGTGATAATCGATGCTAATTATAAATAAGTAGATTTAATAACTGTCACAAAATTAAAGAAAGAGTAAAGATTTTGTTCCTAATCCTAACAATACCAGATAATAATCAGTGTACAAGCCCATTTGTTTTGGAGATAATAATTTTAGAGATGGCATCATATATTTGAAAATAAGCAACAGATGTTGTTGTAATGATAGAGTACACCTCATTTCTATCAACAGCAGATTTATTGTTTTCCAGTTTTTATGAACTACAATTAATATTGACGTCAAAACATCAAAGAACTGAAGGGATTTTGTATATTTGTTTAATATTTTTATAACATTTTATAGTTAACAAACCTAATCATTATGACATAATACTTAATGAATGTCATATTTTTATTTGACACGAATATCAATTATAATTTTTTAAATAACTATAAGCACTTATACCAAATCATGGAGTCTTTAACTAATGGCTAAAACATTACTCAGACTTTGTTAAAACAAGATGATAATAAAAGTTTAGTTCCACAAAAAAAGTTAACAGGATAATTAAGAGGAAACAACCCTAACGATAAAAACCCTGTCGAAAAGTATAAATGGAAGAATCATACAAATAAAATTCAATAGATGAAACATTGGCAAACATATCGCACAATTCTGTATGTTAAAAAAAGCAATCTAATTGAAAACTTCTTCTTTGAAGTCTGTTGAAAAGAGAATGTAATCTCTAGACGATGAATCATCAAAATTAGGAATAAGCAATAGGCAGACACATATAGAGTCATAAGAAAGCGTTGTTTGTAGGAAATGAAGAGAAGACGAAGCGCGGGAATTCGGCTGACGGACGTTGACCCAAATATGCGGTTGACATTGATCGACGATGGGTCGCGATATGCTTATTATGTTGTATTTGTAGGTACACAGCAGCGAACGTATGGATTGGGGGCTATAGGAAGTTCATTGCTACGGGTTTTTTACATCGCACCGCGAGGCTCGCCCAGATATGACTCACTGTTGCGACTGTTGGTAACCGAGTGTGGCGTGCGAATGAGCTGTATAATGTGTATTGATCTACCCATTAATTCAGATGTATTGTCAGCTAATATGCTGAAGTACAACAGCTTGTAGACTGCTTGTAATAAACGAGTAAAGTTAGTTATGATAATGATAAATATGATCAGAATTGAATCATGTGAACTAACATCTCCTAGCCATCTTATTCTTTATTACATAACTTAAGGTAAAACACAAACATTATATGCAACTGCATAGAATTCGCAGCGTGTTGGTGCGGAAGCATCGCATATCGACGCGGCCAAACGATAACCCAAATTTCTGACAGCGACCTACATATTAGAGAGTGTATTTTACAGACGACCGAGCGCGCCCCGTCAACTGGGGAGGCTTTGGCTGGCTACACCTATTTATTACTTACATGACTGTCAGTCGGTCAATGTTTAGGTAAAAATAAGAACATGGAAAAACGAAAAGAAAAAACCAAACAAAGCTTCCTGACATTTAGGGGGTGAGTTGGTTCTGACGGTTCATACATCTATTCTGAAATAACATAAAGCACGTGAACTATCATTATATTCAGTTCACATGCAACACCATAAATCAATGGTGAGCGGTGTCGTTGGAGACAAATCATTGTGGTGGTCGCGAGTGGTTAGTCAGGCCAGTGACCGCGGCACGTGGTCGCGAGATGAGCGCGTCGGGCTGGGGAGAGACGGCGCGCGGCGGCTGTCATTGATTTTCCCCGTTTCCCCCCCTGCCCCGAGCCTGGCTCCCGCCCCACCGCGTCTCACCCACTTCCAGCGCCCGATAACGAGGTTAACGGGCGACGTGAGCGTCTCCTAAACTTTAATTATACCCGTACACCCGTCGTGCATGTTTAACCCGGCCTCTATTCAACGTTTTGTTTGCAGCGCACCTGATAGCGGGAGGTGATCCACTATTCGGTCGACGGTTAACTGTCTAATGAACGAAGTCTGAGAAACAAGAGTATAGCAACACTACACAGGCCGCGGCAACGAGTTGCTGAGGTGCGGGCTTAATTCAAATCAGCCGCGTCTCGGCTAATAAACACGGATCGTATTAAGCTTAGTGATTTATTGTAAACACAATCAAAGCAGCGTTTTATTTACTTCAGTAATATTGGAACACTTTAAGAGTTAATTTATTTATGTTCGTTTAAATAGATTTATTAATGCAAAGGGGATAATAGAAATAATTCGTCATCTTCATATCAGCTTTTAACTGTCCACTGCTGAATATAAGCCTTCTCCTAGGGGGAGTTTCGCCAGTAGTTGCTACGCTTGGCAGGTGGATTGGCAATCGCAGTTAGGCTCTGGAGATATTTTAAGAAGGATGCTGCTGCCCATCCCTTGCCCTCCTTTAGTTGCCTCTTACGACACACAAGGAAAAGGAAGGGCCTATTCTATTCGGAGACCACACGGTAGAATTAGAAATAATTACAAAAAAAAAATAGCTCTTTATAAAAAAAAATCAGATTAAAAACCTGGTGCTCTGATCTGATGGTCTATAAAAACTAATTGTCTTTCTTGAAAATTCTTAGCTTCTCTAAAGTACCGACAACTCATAAATTATTTTTTTCTAATCAGTGCTAGTAATTCAATCATCATTTCCATCATAAAACGATGAAGGTAGTATCGCAGTAGAGATTTCGATGCGATAAATTGAGGTAGTATAACTGCCAATTACTAGATACTTAATTGCGGATTAGACGTCAGATTCAATTTGTTTGCACATTTGCTTGTCATTAACATTAATCGCCGCCATGCCTTTGTGTGCATGTACAAATCCCATTCAACAATGTCCATTTCGTTAAGTACTTGGCTGTATACGAGTGACAATAAAGTTGATTTTGATCGTGGTCTATAAACAGCGGTGAGTGCAGAGCAGGAACGCATCCGAACTAAAGTAACCGAAGTGTTCCGTTCCGGCGTTGCATCACCGATGGCGGTGTAGGAAATCGGTGTCCTCCGCGACACCGTGGGCGGAATAGTTTCCTACAATGATGTAAATAAAGCTGGAAACGATAAGGGGCGAACTCGCGAGAGGACTCGCTGAGAAGTTTCGTCTCACATCGTAAACGAAAGATTAACGATGTCAAGTGGAAATGTTCTTGAATTTGTTGCGATTTTCTATTATCCTCAACTAATTCGTCTTGGGACGGAAAAGAGATGAATACACACTTTCCGTTCAATAGAGGATGATAAACAATTTTACGACGTCTCTTGAATTTTTAAAACAGTTCACATAGTAAACCAAAATATTAAAAGATTCGTTTACCGAATTCAATAGTTCTATATTACACATTAGAATTGTTTTATGCACCATATAAAAGATAAATATTCAAATAGATATATTACAAATTTATCGTTGGAATAAGAATGCAAAATAATAAAATGATAAAGTATCTTTAAAATGCGTTCTCTCAAAGTTTCTTTTTCAAGTTTCTCGTATCTGTCGTATTAAAGATGTTCATGTAATATATGTGTGAGAATGTGCGTCGTACCCAATAAATAACTTTAGATAATCTCTCTGGAATGATGCATTCATTCAACAAAAGGAAAATATTTCACGAATTCTCTTCAGTGATTTACTACATTAATTAAATACATAATAAATTAAATGTTTATATTAATAAGAAAATTACAAATCTTGTAACATTAACTCCCAAAAATCGAAGCAGTAACGTATTAAATAATACCCTAAATAAATAACAAATTGAAACAATCAAACAATAGATTTTTTTATTATTATTAAACATTAGCAGACCGTTTATGGTCGGGTCCTTTAATTGATTGTTTACATTTTCATTAAATTACATTGAAATAGATTATAACATAAATATAAATTGTTAGTAATGCTGACTACAATTCCAATCGCTAGCAATATACTATCAGATTGGCTTCCACGTGCCCCCCCCCCCCCCCCCCCCCCGGCCATTGAAACCATCGTGCTGAATTCCAAGTGTATTCATCGCGATGGGCTAACTGACCTACTTTTCATTCTTACCTATCATTCCTCACTGGCGCCCCACCAGCCTATACTGATAGCGTAGGTGGGGTTACTATTCCATTATCATCCACTAAAAAAATAAGTTAGTATAAACATATTCGATAATTTATATTATACATCCGTTCGATATACGTGCAAATTTAAAAGAAACGTAATTCATAATCTAGATGTATAAAAAGACTCAAGTTCATTTACAAGTGAAGTAGAAACCGTCAGGATCCTTTCGAAGGAGTGTTCTACCAGCGAAACTAAACATTTTCACCATAAACAAGTTTTTAACATAAAAAAAAATTCAATTCACAAAATTCCTGTTCTAATAGGTTCTCGAGCATAAATAAATTCTTAGTTGCGTACAAGTAACGTACGACTACGCTTCACCCTGTATCCAACTCGTAGTACGCACCGTCTCTTCCAGTGAGTGCAAAATGCGCGGTTTCCTTTGTAGTCGGTTATTCAATTAGGCCTACCAATGTGACGCGTACGGGCCGTGGTATTGCGTATCCTAATTACCCTCCTTGTTCCACCGCTTCCCGTGAGACGTCCTATTTCGTAACATCACACCGATAAGAAGTGGCTTTGATAAGATACGCATCGTTGCCATTTGTGAAAATTTATTTTAGGGTACCGCACTAAAAACGTAAAAAGAAACTGCACGGTGCGACTATACATCCATTCGTCCGTCTGTCACAGCGTTATATCTCAGCAA